CTTTGGGTTGGAGGAAAAACAACAAGGGAAGCTCAAAAAGTTGAGATAAGAACTACTTAATTATATAAATTAAACTTATGCATTTACTAACACTACTACTGCTAATAAGTAATTAAAAGAACAGAAAAATAGAACATACGATATAGGTTCTCACTACCTGTGGACCGACACAGTCAGATTCCAAAAACAACAAGGCAAATATCCAATTGGAGAGAAAAAAAAATTATCCAAAATACCTGAGCCCAAAAGTGGAGACAAACCCAACCCTTCTCCTAGCCACGGAGTGGAGAGCAGAGAGAAAGAAACTTCCAATCCCCCTCGCAGTTTGATTAGCCTGACAAAAAAATGCTGCTTCTCTGCTAATTCTTTCCTTTCCTTCCACAAAGTAAACAAAGGCAGAGCTATTGGCTAGGTGATGCCCCCACCTTTTAGGTCACTTTTCTAGCGGTCACTTTCTCGTGCCTCTCACACCTTGCAAAATCTTGTGCTTTGCAAAAACCGCGAGCCTTACAAACTCCATTGAGCTCAGTGTAACATGGAATGAAACAAAATCCTGTGCTGGGTGACAATAAAGAGGATCACCAGGCAGGTCCATAATGAAGACACAGGTCCAAGCTCAAGCTAGGGAGTCGGTCTATGGGTTAGGATCCTGATCATCATGGCCCATGACCAGACACAGACATGTGATGGTGGAGACCAATACTGCTACAGCATAGCTCTAGCAGGCCCAGAGCTGGACTGAAATGTCCCCATGTGTAGGGGTTGTGGGTGGAGGCATCAGGTAACCTTGTCAAGGCCATTAAAGCTTACCTAGTGCCCTCAGAGACCTGACAGATGGCAACAGGAGACCTTGAAAATGCAGTGCAGGATCTGCTCTGTGCTTGGAGCTCAGCCCTTGGAGTGGAGACTCGGCCCTCCACATGTGTCTATGATGTGCAACAGATATTGTCTGCCAGGCTTCTGTGCTAGAGGAAAGACTAGTTTCAGTTCTGTCATCTGAGGTCTTTAGAAACTCCAGATTTGGTCTTCTGTTGGCTGTTAAATGCTCTAAACTAGACAGCAAGATCCAGACAGAGTATGTCCCAGGGTCCTGATCCTTTTTTGGGGTTGGCCATGCTGATCAGTGTCTGGCATTTGCCCTCTGACCTACTCATTGAGGTTTCTTCCCTGGGGAAGCTGATGTACTTAAACTCTCAAAAATATTCAGTTTGGTCCACCAGTTCTCAGCTTTTATTAAAATAATAAAATTTGGACATTGTGCTTCAGTGTGTGTTCAAGATATACCCTGAACCTTTCATTCCTAACCCAAAAGCTTAACCCCTCACATTTCTGTGGTAAAAACAAACTGAAACTCTTCTCCAATCCCATAAATCAGGGAGGTGGAACTTTCAGAAAACCCCCAAATATCAAGAGATAATCTGTAAGATCATGGAAGAGAGAACCTCTCAATCTCATGCATACCAGAAAATGTATTACCTGTATCCATTTTAAGTAGTCCCAAGTATAAACTTGGAAGATTCTTCCATTTTTTATAGCCCAGCATCGAAATGCCTATTTCCTGGGTGTTGTCTCATGATTTTTTTTAAATCCAGTATTAGACCAAAATTTAGAAACACAGTTGAAGTTGAGGATTATATAGCATAGTAAAATTTGTTCTCAAAGGATGGGAACAAGAAACAGAAGTACCAGAAATGTTAGAAGAGCTTATCACAGGAAATGAATGAAATAAATTCATCTTTCAATAATGAGTTTCTACCTCCTGGTATGAATATTTGTCCATTGACATCACAGAGAGCAGAGCAAAGGAAACAATTTCCATTTGCAAGAAAAGCCATAAATTCGAAATGAACTATTGCTTATTTCTGATAAAAAACATTGTTCAACAGCAGCAGGTCCAGCCCTGTTACTGGGCTTATCAAATAGCTTTTAGTGTAGCTTTGTGGGACACTTGCATGAAATTGCCCACCAAAATATTTTCTGAAAGCCAAGAGCTATTAAATTGGGGGGGGAAAGTACTAAAATTCAGGACAGAATTTGTGTAATAAACTTTCTTTGAACATGATCCACTCGACTCAGTTATGGAAGGAGAAAAGACAGACAGCATTTGGGAACAGTCCCAACTCTTCGGCCTTGAATTCATCTGACACTGCTTAATCAGGGACAGCTTCCCTCACTTAACACCTGAATTTTTAACAATCTTATATGTTGGTTCAATTTAAGGGCTCATACTACATTTCACAGTGGTTTGAGGTTATAACAATGATCCTGAAAAGGGTCTGTAGCACTTTTCTGCTGTTGTTTTTACAAGTCTATTTATTTCTTAGTATGGATGAGGATACTGGGACCAGTTCATAGCATTATTCTCTACAATGTGTGATTTTACAGACTTCTCATATAAATAGAGTACGTTTGTTTTACATAAAATCTCTTTCAGGGGCAGGGTCTTGTATCACAAACGTCCTTAAAAACTCATGCTTTAAAAATTACATTTCTGTCCCTTGATAATTGTGAATCAAAATGAAGAAGAACAAAGGTAATTAGTGTGCAATTGTCTATTCCTTCTCTAGTGATGTCAGTGTGTTTATGCCATGCAGTTGTGTTACATTGTTTCCTTGAAATGTGCTTCAAAATAGAATAATCACCTGTTTAGAGTCCCTTTATGTTGGCCAACAAATTAGAATGAGGTTATATAATATTTTCTTAATACTTGTTACTTTTCCTACGTTTCAGTCCAAGCAATCATGCTAAAATTCTGTCTGTTATGCCAATCTCCAAAGTTCCCAGCCAGGTCCCTGGGAACTTTGTCTGGGTCTCTGTGCTTTCATGGAGGCAAAGATACAAGGTCGTTCTCATGCCCATACTCTCCTGTCACTAAAGCTTGTTTATGAATGCCAGCTATGGCTCAGGACAAAGAGTGGAGCTGTATAGGGAAGCAGAGTGTTTGCACAGGTACTTGCTCACTGAGGACTGGCAAGGCTCTGTACACATAAATCACCCGACAGCCAATGTTTGCTTGCCCTTGAATTCACTTCGAGGCAAAGCTGTGGGAGGAAAAATAGTCTAAAAATATGTCAGTAATCCCAGGGTATCTGACACTTGCCTGAAGACATCGGCTAGTGTTACAATTTAGGATGGTTCGCTACTCTACCTTCGGAAGGGTGAGATTAACTGAGCTGAGCCAGCAGTTGCTTCTCAGAAAAGGGCTGTGATTAGCTGACGACCTTGTCTTATAACTGTCAATAAAGGTAATGAAAACTAGATTTCTTGAAATTTGTCTTGATTTTCCTTCATTCACTCTCTCATTATGTGTCCGTTTAGTGTGCTGGCCTTGAAGGTGATGCTGATGAGTAGAGGGCCAGAGGAGGAGATAGCTTTTCTGTGTGGAGGACCACTTAGCATTTGCTGTGGGGATTACTTTCTAAAGCAAATAAATCTCCATTAAAGTCATAACACCCTGCTAGTTAATACGCACACACCTCCAGTGGCTAATCATTAGCAATTCAGCAAGTCAGACGGGTTTCTGCGCAAGCATGAAGCCTGCAGGATGTTTCCCACTGACTGTTTGCAGGTGACAGTGGATCAGTGGCTGATGAAATCTATGCTCTGCTCTGAGCATGCTGTGCCTAGACCTCCAGTTCCCAGAGACTGTTGGGAAATGCAGTCCTCAACATTGTTTTTTCTCTAGTGGACTTTTTACAGCCGGCTATAAAACTGAGCTCTGCTCCTGCCTGTTGTTTCTTGGCTTTTTTTTTTCTTTTATTGTTTGGTCCTCCTTTTCACCCCCAGGGATTTCTTTTTCTTTATAATCCCCCAATTATTAGAAATCTCATCCAGTAAGTGCAAAACAGAGGTTTGAGTCTCTCTTTTAACATCCTTTTTCTCTGTGTCGACAGTGTTCTACACACTAGACCATAATCAGTCTGTGGTGCTCCTGTTGATGGCAGGGCACTGTATACAATAGGGCAGAAGATTCTTATATTACTATCACCCATATAATGACCACAAACTGTTTTAAATTCAGAACAAAAATAACAAGATATTTTTTATTCTAGTGAAGACCCAGACATGAACAACCTTATATAGGAGAAAAGCAAGTAGGCAAGCAGACCATTACAAAAACAATCCCACATCAAACCCCAGCAAAACATAAACAAACCCCCCTCCCAAATTATTACTAGCTTTTATTTCACATACAGTATATAAACACAGGCAGATCCTTTCTTCACAATCTCACCACCAATAAATAAAAACAAAAGGCAGTGTTTTAATTTCAAAGTGATTCCAGCATTGCAGTTTGGACTTCCTTTCTCCTAAATAGAGTGCAATGAACATGGATAGCTGTCAAAAGAAGGGGGCTTCCATACAACTATGTAGAAAGTCTTCCTGTGCTTCGCTATAATCATTCCCTAAACTGGCAACAATTAGTACAAGTAACAGCCTGAGAATTTTCTGGGTATGAAAGGGTTGCTAAACTCTAGTAATTTTTGCCCAAGTTACTTGCTGCAGTTCTGTTACAAACATAGGCATGTCACATGCAGATCTACAGGTAGAGAGATAGTTATCTGACGCACTGGAAAGCATGGGCTAGAAAAGATGATACCCAGTGGTGGGTATTATGTATAAGGGAGGCCAAATCACAGGCAGATTTAGATATTAAAAAAAGGCTGCAGGTGACTGCTCAGTTTCACCCATTGTGTCCAGACAAAACAGTGGAAAATAAAACTGTGCCCAGGATATTTTTGTTGTAGTGTGACACAACTCATGCAGAACTGAAGCTTCTTACATGAGGGTTACAGTTTCCTTGATGCCAGAACTGCACTAATGCTGGCACCTGATCTGGCAACTTCAGGACTACCCTGGTATGTTGACATGAGCTAGAAGCTCCAGTTTGACTGTGGGGGAGATGGAGCCCAAATATTGATTCGTGAAACTATGTGATCTTGCAATATGAATGCACAAACTTCCCAGCTTGACAAATCTTTGAATTGTTTCATCCTTATTCAAAAGCAACCAGAGCAGGCAGCATTTGCACAGATCTCACACAAGTCAGCTTCTTGGGCAACCAGATCTGTTAGAGAGAAAAGAGAGGGTTTCAATGAGATAGCAAGAGAATTCTTTTGAGAGTAGAGCCACATATCAAGGGATTTGGAGACTCCTTTCCATTATGGTTTTATGAGTTCTAATGTTCCTTGAAATGATTGTTGGCAAAACAAAATTAGTTCTTGCAAAAGTCTGGCTTAAAGAATGAAAACAAACCTGAACTCACTGGGGAAACAATGGGAACATGTGGAGGCAAAAGAACAATAAGACATCTTGTGGAAGAGTGGTGGACATGCAGCTTGCAGATTCACCACATTTGTTATATTGGTAGTATTTTTTCCTAAAACATCCATTGTAATTGGACAGTAGATAAATGCAACATAAGAAAATAAAAAAGCAGACACTGTAGCAGTCAGTTCAAGAATTGCTATGTGTGTCTTGGATCTGTGAGATCAGGCCAAAGAGCGATTCACCTCATTTACATCTCACACCTCTTTTAATCTACCTGAAAAAATACCTTCTTCTACACTGATTAGAGACAGCAATTAGACCTGCTCACTTGTAGTTAGCTAGAACTGAGTGACATAACCCTGCTTTTCCTGTAAACCAGAGAAGATTGTGGGCTCTCTCACTTTATGTCATGTAGGTTACTGTGCAACTACTCGGAAGAAGCTTTTTCATGGTTACAGCAGCCTAATCTGTACAGGCTACAGCTAAACTCAGCACAGCAGGATTTTTCTTGCAGGGGACTCACAGTTAGTGTAATCCAACTCTTGCAAGAGGGGTAGTAAAAAGGCAGCATGGACTCCCTCAGCTGCTTTAGAAGTGACAGAACAGTAATTATGTTTCGTTGACTGCTGCTGTTTGAATGTTTAAGGTTGAAAAGTGTGAAAAAAATTGTCACTATGCGATATGAGCTACATACTTAGCCTCTCAAAAATCATGGATGCATCTTCTCTTTTGCACACAGATTGGAACTCCTCAGGGAGATCTTTTTCATCACATAGAGAGTAGCTAGACATTGAAACTACCATGCGAGGATTAATGTGGCTGTTCTTATCTGTAAGCTCCTTCAGCTTCTTCACAGACTCAATGGAGAATTTCAAATCCCCATCCTATGCAGACAGAACCAAAAAAAAAAAAAAAAGGTGTCAATCCTTAGACAAATCTATTCCAGTTCAACCATGAGCTCTCCAAAAAAACTATACCGCCGTGGAAAGACACTGAAATAAAACCTAGATAAAATCAGTATTGACTGAAGGCAAAATGATCATGTCTTCAAGGCAAAGACCTTTCAGAGCAACAATGAGATCTGGCTGTCCAGTCAGGGCTTTTGTTATGTATCACAATGGATGGAGGCAGAATTAGTGCATTTCTCATTCCAGTGAGAGAGACCCATAAAACTTAGGGTTGAAAGATACAGGCTGGGAATCCAGCCTAGAGGAGAGATGACTGGGCAATATGTGTCAGAGATTTACAAAATCATGAGTTGAAGGGAGATAAATGGGAATTTATTTTATTCACACTTTCTTCTAATACACCAGTAGAAAACTTCAAGGGTTGGCTGTCACGTGGGAGACTCTAACCGCACAAAAGGAGCTATTCCTTCACATTACACATTGTCAAGAACTGAAACCCCTCACCCTAAGGTACTGTGGGAAGTTTCCATTAATTAAAACATATCCATACAATTAATGGAATACAAGTTATTGGTAGCATAAATATGACACTTCTGACTCAAAGCTCACACCAAAATCTTCAGGAGACTGGGACAGTATTCTTAGAAATATTACTCCATGGTTTAGATTGCTAGACCCTGTGCATCTTCTAATGGTCATTCCCTCAGTTTCAAGTGAATCCCACTGTTGAGGTCATAAACTTAAATTGCAGGTGTTGCAACTGATAAGCTAGGTGCAAAAAGTCTGTGTATGTCTGCAGATAATCAGTTTGGCCTAGAAGAGAAATAAACATTTTCATATTGATCTTAATTGTATATTTTAACCTGGTTTAATGATCAATGTGTGGTTAGTAGGATGATCAAGTAACACCTACTCAAGCAAAGAAATAAAGGGAAGTGACTCTGATACACCATGAGACCAAATACTGCTACTTGTTTCATAGCCTCATGAGCCCAGTGCTGAATAGTGGAGATGGGGGGGAGCATAGTCAGGTTTGGCTTGTTGGGGTTTTTTTTACGGAATCACAGAATATTAGTGTTAAAGAACTAAAAAAACCCCAACAGAGCCCCCCCCTCCCCCAACCAAACAAAAAAAACCCCAAAAAACAACAACAACCACTAGATAAACTCTTGCAATCAGTTTATCCTTTTACTCAGGTTAATTTATCAGTCATGGTTGCCTATGAAAAATTAACTTTTCCTGTATAAATGCAGTTCTAGATTCAGCTATTGGTCACACACCTCAAAAGCATAAAACACAGAGCTAAAAAAGGATGGATTTCCACAGGTACAGTTTCAGAGAAACCAGAAAGTATGAATGAACCCTGATATATGTATGACCTAGTGACAAAAAACAAATGGGAAGGAAAAAAAAAAAACCCCGAGAAAAATTAAACAAATCCCCCACTATCTCAGAAAAGATGTGTTAAAGAGAGCTCAATATGAACAGCATCTTCCTCCCAACATGAAAGTGCATACTGTGTTGCTGAGCTAAGAGATTTTATCAGAGAAATACTGCAGGCCAGAATGATCCATCTCTGTAGTTTTTCTGGTTTCACTCCACACCTAGTAAACCATCTTCCTCCAGTTTCCATCACACTTATTCAAGATCTGTGATGGAAAGTGTTGAGATACTGATACTCAAAAAAAAACCCAACACCATGATATGAAGTCAAATGAAACTCACTTCTGCTTTGCAAAACATTATGTTAAATTAATGACTTCTGAAATAAGAGAGGGAAGGGAAATCTTGCAAAGAATTTCAGAAAACACAAGAAAATTTTGTGCACTGAGTAATTAGTCATACCTTAGGGACCTCAAGTAGTCCAAGTAAAAGGAGTGCAACACACATGCAGAATATACTGCACATATCATGGGGAAAATACAGATGTAATGATCAATGAGATAAAGAATCAAACCTCAAAGAGGGGCTAAAACTCCAGAGCTGCAATTTCTACACTTTTACCCATTCTAGAAACAACTATTTTCATTTTACGGAAGCATAGAATATTGGTGTTAAAGAACTTTTAAAAATCTCATTTAGGGTTTTTTTAATCCTCCAAGTGGAAATCTGAGATTTTTTTCATTAAGTAGGTAGCTTAATCTGTTGCCCTGGATACTCTCAACATTAAAGAATGGTTTGGAAGAAAGGAATAGCTTAAACCTGCTTTCTCTGGATATCTTTGACATCCAAAGGAAAAAAAGAGGGTATTTCAAGACACAAAGGTAGTACCTTATCCCTGGAAACCTACTGGGTGCATATAGAGAGAGTCAATAATTGTTTAAGAAATATTAGTTCTCTTGGTACTCTGAGAAAGTTACTTACATTGCAAACAAACTGAAATTTCCCAAACTGTTTCTAAGGATGAGTGCAGACAGATCCAACACACACCAGAGTATAGACAAGAGCACTGAATTACCTTAACTGCTTTCATGTTGCATGTAACATCAGTAATAGATGCTTTGTATTTTGGAAAGTTTGCTATAGTCTCCGCTAATAGCTTATCTGTTTTGGAAAGTTTGCTATAGTCTCCTCTAATAGCTTATCTGCCTATTAATATTTCATTGGATCCAGATAAGCATTTCTTCCACATTATTTATATGTGATATATGTGTAGGTCCCATCACACAACCTTGCAGATCATTTTCATAATGAAGTTCCCGCCTAGAAGCAGGCAAGAAAGACAATTTCTCTTTTGTCACGTTGTTCACATCATTCTGTAAAGTTAGAGGTTTCCCCAGTTCTTGAAGTTTCATAACACATGGGGTTATGTGCAAAAGAAAACTCTGGAAATACAATGCCTCAGCAAGAGATTTCAGAGCAGTGATATGGCTTGTGAAGTTAATTAAACTGCAGCAGCATTTTAGTAATATCTGAAGCATTTTACAGAAAGAAAAACTGAACCATAGGGAGATGGAGTTGGATATCAGTCCAGAGCAAAGCAAAAAATTGGACCTATTCGTTTAGTTTAAGATTCCTGTTGCAGCCACAACACTTCAGAGACTATCACTACTTTGCTGAACTTGTAATACTAACAAATTAAAGAGCAGAAAACTTACCTGAACGTAGACTGCCTGGGAGCTGTGCACTAGTAAAAGGACTGCAAGGACTGTAAAGAAAAGAAAGCCTTTCATAGTGTCTATGAAGTATAGCGTTTCCTAATGTGAATGTATTTTAGTTTCTCTGGCTTTGGTCTTTCTCTGACTTTCGTTTGTGTCTCAGATTTTCTCTTCTTCTTGCACTCAGACTGCCTAGAAGTCAGAGTTCCATACTCCCAGTGCAAAGCTGGAGCTTTATAATGACTTCACACAGCATTTAGTTGGTAATCCATTAATCTAAACTCTTTATTGACATATGATAAACCCTCAGTGGACTTTCAGTTATCTACACATTAGCAGAGTAGGCTGGTCACACCCAGGCGGATCCTGGGGTTTATGAGTCTCTCCCACTTGAGAAACTGGCCATGACACAAACAGGCAAAACATTCCAGCCTACAATAAAATAAATGGTAGAGATTGATCTAATGTAATATCTGAAAATAAGTCTCCATATGGGGAACGTACTCAGGTTTCTGGCCACTTCCTGCAAAGCTATGAGAAAGAGATTTTGGAAAGAGTTAGGAAAAATATTTGATCTCTTGCACTGACTTCCGGCCAGTGAGTTCCCTCTTGTGGGGATTCCAAGTACTGAGATGGCAGCAATGGACCGAGGCAGAACACAGGCTGTACCTGATATGACCAGATATAAAATGTCATCTTGCTGCTGCTTTTTTGCAGCACCTGATTAAAATACAGACATGAAAAAGCACATAGATTGTCATTAAGAATAAAGTCTTCCCTGAGTCAAATCTATTTCTTTGTGACTTTCAGTCTTATCCAGAAACATGGTAATTTCACACAGATGGAGAAGTATCAACATGCCTCACTCAGCTCAGTTCTGCCCATCAAGTGCAGGTCCTTTAATCTGTAAATTATTTCTGGCATATTGTGGCTTTGGAGTAACAGCAGACACCATGCCAAACAATCTCCCTGACATCAGGAGAACAGAGTCAGTGGCAACAGTCTGCCACTAAGCAACTTTCTCAAATCTCAGCAGCAAAGGCTCTGAATAGTTTTTACTGTATCCAAGTCTATTGCTAAGACTAGAGTGAAAACTACCATGCTGCTTGGTATAAAATTCCAGAAACTGAAGCAGCCTGGAGTTCCCGGGCAATGGGCTTGTAGGGAGGGAATGGGACTTTTCTGGTTCAGTATATCCCAAAAATTTCAGCAAAGCTGAAGCTACCGTGTAGAGGACAGTGCTGACTGCTTAATGATACTTTGCTTGTCTCCTCTCCACCAGTCCAGTCTACTCCTTATCCATGAAATATGAACCCATAGGACCATTTTTATTACCACAAAATGAGCTTGCTTTCTCTGCTGTTAGGCTTTTTCTGCTTTCTGTGCTGCCAAGGCCAACAGCCAACACAACTTGCAACTCCAGAACTCACACCTGTGCCCTTAATTACTCTAATAATAGTCAAGGGTATAACAGCAGAAGGTATAGCAACAACCTCCTCCTAGAAGCTTTGTAGAGGTGTCACAAGAGACAGACATGCTTAGAATCCAATTAGATAAAGCCAAAGGTAAGAAAGCAAATAAACTTACGGAATAAAAACGTTTATTGGAGGCATGAAAGAGGAGATTGAAACTCCACCTCGCAGTACATGCTTGACTCCCAAAATTGCTGGGTCAGGACACCTGTTGGAGCATGGGCTACCACTTTTCATCAGTGTCATGCTTGTCATGCTGATGGCATGCTGCAGTAGAAAATCCCAGTGCTTCTGATATGCTTCTGGTCCAACTGCTTTTTTGACAGTCAAGAGGTACATATTCTCTCCTTCATCTTCTTTTAAAAAACTCCAAAGAGAATTATGGTTTCAACTTACTTTCACTACTTTAGTTAAGAGCTATGTCAAGTACGTCTGATAGCAGTTTTGGTCTGTTACTTCCTACCCCTCATTTCTGTGTTGTTCAGACGATATTAAGAGAATACTAGTTAAGTTAAAACCTTGTATGGCACTGCTGCGTTTTGTTGTCTGGATTCATCCAGTCCACCTGTAAATTTTGAAATTTAAAATTTTTTCCAAGTACCTGGAAAAAGAGGACTCTGTCAAAATTCAGATCATGTGTCACCCCTATTTGTTATGGCTTCCCTCATTGATGGGAACCACTTATGCTTTAGAAGAAATAGGGCCTCTCCTCAGAGTAGTTGTCAAATACCTTCACCTGGACTCCTAAGGGGGGGTCCCACATGGTATCCCCCCAAGCATGGGTAGGGATGATGGGGGCACATTTCTAAGCAGATAGGACCTTTAAGAAGAAACAGAGAGGCAGTAACACACTTAGTCACCTCCAGGAATTACTTTTTTGAAGGTGGGCCTTTGAATTCAATGGTCTACAGCAAGCATGAATCTGGAACTAGGCCCCTGTATGTTTTTTGTGCTGAACCTGTAGCCAGCCTGAGTTTATCCATGAGAAGAGTAAGAGATGAAGAGAAAAAGCTACAAGAAGTTTTCTGATACCAGGTGGATCTTGGTAATGGAAAAGACTACGGGTTGAGATAAAGACAGGGACATAACTTATTAGTTATCATCATGGACAAAGCTGACTCAACTTGGGGAAAGTTAATTTAATTTATTGCCATTTCCCTCACCTGCCCTGTTCCCAGACTCAAATTCATTTTCTTTCCCAAATCTTTTACCTCTTTCTGCCAGACATGGGTGGCACAAGAGGATGGGGAATAAAGTGTTGCAGTCAGTTCAACTCAACTTGGGGCTACTCGTTCCTTCTCCCACTTTTCCCCATGGGGTCCTTTCCCATGGGGTACAATCCTTCATGGACTGCTCCAATATAGGTCTTTTCTATGGGCCACAGTTCCTCAAGAACTGCTCCAGCATGGAGCCTCTCCATGGGGTAGTGTCCTTCAGAAAGAGTCTAAGCCAGTATGGGCCTAGAGGCTGCAGGTTCTGCTGTGAGTCTGCTCCATCATGGGCACACACACAGGCTGCAGCTTCCTTCAGGGTACATCCATGTTTCATGGTGAGGGGTCTTTAATGGGCTGAAGTGGGGATATTTGCTCCACAATGGCCCTCCATAGGCTACGGGGCAATATCTGGTCTGATGTCTGGAGCACCTCCTTTTCCTCTTTCACTAACCTCAGTGTCTCTGTTTTCTCACTCCTTTACTTCACAGCTGCTGTGCAGCACTTTTTACCCTTTCTTAAATGTGTTATTGAAAAGGTACCACCAGCTTCATTGATGGGCTCAGCTTTGGATCCAGTCTGCTTTACAGACAGCTAGGACTGGCTGTGTCCAGCACAGGGGCAGCTCCTGAGCAGTTCTCACAGAGGTCACCCCTGCAGCCTCCTCCACCACCAAAACCTTGCCATGTAAATCCATCACAGTGCTCTCTTCACTTCTTTTCTCCTCCTGGCATCCTCCACAGCCCTTGTTGTTCATGCTCTAAGGCTCTTTTCTTACAGCTCACGCCAGTGTTGAGGCACTTCTCCAACAACACCTGGAGATGTGGTGCTCAGTGCTACTGTTACTGGCCAAAACACAGCACCCAAGGGATGAGGGGAGGCACAGACTTAAACAACACTGGCACCCCACCCCCTCGCCAGCAATCGCTGACACCTCCATAGCATGCCAACAGTCACAAGCACTTCACACATAAACTAGAAGCTACCAGCACACTTCCCTAGCTTCACAACAGTCACAGTCCCTGTCACAACACTATGTGAGCACTCAGATTCTCTGTAATCCCTTTCATCATTGTTCATATGGTATCCTGTCCCTTCCGAGAGTCCTAGCATCCTATACCTTACCTGCCTAGCTCACTCAGAAGGCCTTTCTTCCTCTACAAGACAACTCACATGCCCTTTAATTCTTTTCATAAGCATGTAAATCTCACAGAATATGTTACCATCTCTTCCCATTATCATTCATGTGTGCACTAACCCTCCACTTTCTCCTTAATTCTTGCTCACATCCTCTTCATTATCCCTTCTGGACCACCAGATCCCTTCTTTTCCCTTTTAAGGAGTCATAAAATCCTTTCTTTCCATCCACCCAAGATTATATATCCTTCATGGTGTCCTCCATGAACTCACATACCCTCTGTTTATCACCATATCTCTTTAAAACCATTTCTTTTCCCATTACCACTGCACAGATCTCCTGTCTTTCACTTCCTGCATGCTCACCTGTTCTTAATTTTTTCCCTTCCTGCAGGCTTACCCCTTCTCGTTTTCCATTGCCTGCCACACACCATTGCTCTCTGGCTCCAATTCCATGTCCCATGTACCCCTTGAGGCATGCCCTTCCACTCCAAGCAAGCCAAGACCGACACAGTTCCCATCCCCATGTGCTTAGCTGCCCACCATCCAACTTGCTGGACTTTGCACTCCCCTCCTCTCCCCTTCCTACATGGCCATATCTCCTCTCCCTCCCTCCCTCCAAGCTGCTCAGCTCCCACACTGGGAGCTTTTATCAGAAATAGTGTGGCCAGCAGGACTAAGCAAGTGATTGTCCCCCTATACTCAGCACTGGTGAGAACATACCTCGAATATGTTCAGTTTTGAGGTGCTGGAATGTGTCCAGAGTGCACCCTCAATGGCAACAAATCTGGGGAAGGGTCTGGAGCACAAGTCCTGCAAGCAGTGGCTGAGGGGGCTGGGGTTGTTCAGCCTGGAGAAGGCTCAGGGGAGACTTTATCGCTCTCTACAACTACTTGAAAAGAAGTTATAGCAAGATGGGTGTCGGTTTCTTCTCCAGAGTAACATGTGATGGAACAAGAAGAAATGGCCTAAGTTGAGCCAGGAGAAGTTTAGATTGGATATTAGAAAAAAAATTCTTCAAGAGAAGGATTGCCAAGCATTGAAACAGTCACCCTAGGGAAGTGGTTGTGTCACTATCCCTGGTGGTATTTAAAACATGTAAAGAGTGGTCCCTAGGGACATGGTTTAGTGATGAACTTGGCAGTGCTAGATTAATGGTTGGACTCTCTGATCTTAAAGTCCTTTTTCAACTTAAATGATTCTGTGATTTTATACTAATCAGTACTGGTCCCAGTATGGACCCCAAAAGGACACC